AGTAGTAGTAGTAGTAGTAGTAGTAGTGAGTAGTAGTAGTAGCAGCAGCAGTAGTAGTAGTAGTAGTGTTAGTAGTAGTCGTCGTAGTATCAGTCGTATCAGTAGTAGTAGTAGTAGTAATAGTAGTAGTAGTAGTAGTAGTAGTAGTAGTAGTAGTCGTAGTCGTAGTCGTAGTCGTAGTCGTAGTCGTCGTAGTAGTAGTAGTAGTAGTAGTAGTAGTAGTAGTAGTAGTAGTAGTGGTAGTAGTAGTAGTAGTAGTAATGAGGCGGACTTTTGTCGTCGGAGGCGCCCCCGACATAGTCGTTGGACGCCTCCGTCTTTGGCCCCGCGCCCTCATCGTCTCCCCCGGAAGGCCGTGGGTTCTGAACTCGACGCCTCTTCGGGTCGTCTCGTGAATAGTGAATCAGTCGGTCACCGGCTATCACCTTCGCCGGGTCGAGAACGTTCAGGTCGATCCGCAATTTCCAGCAGTGCGCGGGGAAATGCGATGGGGGGCGGAGCTGAAGACGGACCAGGCCCACGAACTGCACTGCGTCGTCACCGACTATTTGGCGAACGAAATCGAGAATATGATCGACGAGCAACCTTCGACTGTTCCAGATCTCTTGCATCTGGTCCTTTTGCCGGGCACTGCAGAGACGCCGTCGCGCCTCGCGGAATGCGCGGCGATTGTCGAACTGGGCGGGGTCATGAACCCTCTCCTCCTTCGCCGACTCCTCGACCCGCCAGAGAGGCAGCTTGACCGTCTTGCGCTCTGTCTGGCCCGACTCCTCCACGGGGCGAAGAGGGTCTGGGTCCGCCATGACTGCGAAGTCGAGCTCGACGTGGTCACCGGCAGAAACACTGGGGCGCTATAACCGCTGCTCCTTGGCGCGCGCCTGCCTCTTCCGCCTGATAAGCGGCGACGCCATTGAGAGACTGATCGTCTCGCGCCTCTGCTTGTTGGCGGCCCTGGCCGGGCTGTCCACGGGCTGACTTCCCTTGATTTCCCCCAGATCCCGCTCGAGGAAATCGTCGGAGGGGGGCGCGGCCCCCTGGCCCTTCGGCGAGGGGCGCAAGTGTGGGAAGTGGATCGTCGGCCAGTAGAGCAGGAGACCTGATGCCATGGACCCCAGCTTCCACTCCCTGCGGCAGTCCGGCGCTTCCGTCGGCAATGCGGCAATCGGTCTGGCCGCAGACTTGCGGGAGAAATGCTCTTCCGACGAAAAGGATTCCAAGTCCTGCTCGCCGTCCGAGAGGTCGATGGCGACTCTGGGCTGGCCAGCGATCGGTGGCGGCATCTGCTCGCTGCGCTCGTTCCAGGTCAGGCTCCTTGTCGTCGCTGGCCTGCGGGGTGCCCGGGCGCTGCCCTTCGTCGCGGCATGCGTTCAATGTGATGTTTGAACGAGGGCGCTGACTTTGGTCCCCGGCATAGTCGGAGGAAACGGTGCCAGAAACGTTCATACTTACGCCGTGCCGTTGGTTTCTTTCTCTCGTAAATCACCCACCGAGCAAAACGACATTTTTCCTCCGCCCAGTGACGTCGCTTTCGTCGACGATAGAACTTTCGGCCAGTAGCAAATGTTTTGCCAAAGAGGGAAGCTTTCGCAACCCGGTGAAACGGCGAAGCGCGTTCATGTTCTTCATGGTGATCTTCTTCCTGTAATAGTTCCACGCCCAAATCCAAGAGACTTTTTTGGGGCGCAATTATTCCCGCCATCGCGTATTGTGATGATGTGCCGTTAAGATATGACGCATGTCACGCCACTCTGAAGAAGGCCAGCTGGCAGAGGGAGGGCGCCCGAGAGGGCGCGCGCGCGCGCCCGGCGGGCGGACCGACCCTCCATTCCGCGACCGAAGCCGAAACGGCATCGGCAAGTCAACCATGTCCGGCGGCGGCGAGACAACGACGTTGAGGCAGCGAAGGGGGACGACTAAATGAAATCAAAGATCTCCTCCTGGGCATGCGAAGGCAAAAGGGGGCTGCGCCCGATAGTTCGGCAACCGCAGGTCGATGATCAAAATCTTCCACTCATGTACGAGACAGGCGTCGCATGGAAGGCGCCGCGCCTTCGAGATTACAGGACGTGGCTATGTATTCCATCTGGGACGTATACACATGTCCCGGCGGATCCCGCACGCCCAAAGTCCGTCGAGCTCGTGCGATGCCAGAAGTGTTGAGAGCCCGGATACATAGAGATCACAACCAAGTCAACGCGACGCGCCCCATGGCCAGTGGGCGGGAGCGCATTTACGGTTGCACATTTGATCCAGCAGCTCCGTCGACACAAAAGGCAAGAATACCGTCCGTCTTGGCCAAGGGCAAGAAAGTCCCGGGGCGCCTACTCCGACACTGCTTCTCGCAGGCAACAGACTCGTGGAACATATTCGAGGAGACGCCACCCTCAGAAGTCTGATCGAGAAAATGGGAAGACAAGACTCAGGTTTTATGTGTAAGCATCCGCCCCATGAAGCACCATGCGCGACGTCCGAGATGTTCGGGACCAGTTGGGGCGGGACGTGGAAACCACAATCGCCGCCCTTCAAAATGTCCCCGCGCGGCTACCGGCGAGTACGGTTGAAAACGATGGAACTATGAGCAATGCTACTGTCCACCCACCCCATGCATTCCTGGAAACATACTACAGCCGACCCTTATGACCTAGCCTGCATAGCATATGTAATGGTATGCTGGCACCCCTGCGAAATGTGGCGGATGTTCAAGTCACTGCGGTGAGCGTGTCAACGAATTCTGGCATGCAGTCTCCGCGGGCGTCCTAATACAGACCGCGCCTGAAGCAGCGCATTTACCGGTGAGCCGCGGCGGAGTCCCTGATGCTCAGGGATTGCAAGGCGTCGCTGTCCCGTTCCAGCCCGTGCTCCGAGATACTCGCGATCAAGATGGCCGCATGCCCGCCGTCCGCGTAGACGGCAAAGCGTGGTGACCAGAACGTTCGCACTGTTGAGCCCATAGCTGAATGCCACCAGGTGTAATAGGCCGCCCCATCTGCGAGGACATCTCGCTGGATATCTGCCATGAAGGCCGCGCGCTCACCGGCAATAGGAACTCGGACTTGGTGTCTACGCTGTCCTCGAGTCTGCGCGTCGCCCCCTGACAATCCGACCCCCTGAGTCGCCAAGTGAGCCGCTTTTGGCTTGCCGATGCCCGTGGTCTTGCGCTCCTGCCACGTGCAGAAACCGTTGATGTCGACATGTGCTAGTACCCCCTTTGGTCCCCCAGCCCGGCCCGCACGACCTGTCGCAAGCCGCGTCTCGAAGTACGCGGCTGTGGCTTCGTGCTGGGAGGTGCGCTTCTCGACATCAATGACCTTCATGTCGGCATCCTCAAGACGCTCGTTCAAAACCGCACCGATGACACCCACCACTTCCTGGATGGTCTCTCTGGTCTTCGTCCTCTCCTCCTCCATCGTTTTCTAAAGCATACCCTCGCTGCTCGCGAGGGTCAACTCATTCGACCCAGCACCAGCCCCGGCGGCAGGCCTCTCGCGGCTCCTGGGCCTCGCGCGCTGGCACGATCCCTTCCTAGCGCCACAGTCGTAGCAAAACATCGCGACTGAGCACTAGCGACAGTGCAACAACGGCTGAGCACTTGGGCTGAGCACCTGAACACCTTCAACCTTGAACCGTCTTGCGCCGTGGGCCAAAATGGATCTTGAGCCTTCTGAAGCCTTGAGCGGAGCTATTCCTCCATCGTCGTCGTCCTCCTCCTCCTCCTCCTTCTCCTCCTCCCCAACAGCTGTTTGTCCCAAGCATTTGCAGGATCGCAACGTTTACCTTTCACTTGCTTCGCCCACCCGCTGGAGCCTTCTTGCGCTCAGCATGATGTGTCCACCCGATCGGCTGGATCGGATCACCAACTCCACATGGGTACCCAAATTAGCTCACGTTACCGTCGGCCCCAGTGCAGAGTCCACCAAGCTCAAGATCAAGTTTGTGCTTTCGGCCCCCGCCGCTGAACAGCTCCCTCCTGCGGCACTTCATGGCGTTTTGGCTGTTCTACGTTGGCTTTGCGCTGGATTGCAGCAGCAGGCGGCCATGGACCGAGGGCACAAACACTCAAATGGACGATCTAAGATCGCGATGTGTTGGGACAGCGACAAGTGCGCCGATCCTCTCGTGCTGCTGCAGCTCAACCGGCGCCTCTGGTGAATCTTCTTAGCTTGCGCTGAGCTGCCGATTGAACAGCAAGACATCATGTTGCTCGCCGAGGTGCACGTGGTGGTGCTGCTGAGCCGTTGTCTTCTACGCCCGCTAGCGATCCAAGATCGCAACCTGGACTCCCGCATGGCCAGGATCGATCAGTCGCGTTCTGATCGTCTTCGATATCCTCGGTTCTGTCGGATTTGTATGTTCTGGACAAGCTCTCAACCTGGCTGTCCTGACCACCGGGCGCCGGATCAAGATTGTTCACACGACCGTGCACATTCTGCTGAACGAGCGCATCGTCGCCTTCCTGAGCAAACCCTACACGATCAATGATACAGCCACGCGAGGGGAACACTACAAGATGCGGTTCGGAAAGAAAAGCGAAACAAAGTCTACTGCTACACTGATGGCGCAACGAAGTGAGCGGTGCGCACCCAACGGTTCCTGGAAAACGCCGCCCGTGTGTGTGCTGTTGTCGCACGGCTCGCCGCTCCTATGCTTATCTCGCGTGGTTTAGCCTCAACGAACGTACGAATTTCACGACATGTGCCCGGTGATCGCCTTTGGCCTCTACGGCTCTCGCTATTCCACCTGCCTGGCCCGTGGGTTGTGTCTCAGGTTCAGGGCCTGGGGCCACGCTTCTTACCTGGCGGTGTGGCGGCGGACCCTCCGTTCCTTCCTGGGAATCCCTCCTCCTCCACCCTCCTTCCTCTCTCCCTCCTCGTCCCCCCCCCTCCCTCCATCCCACCTCCCTCCCTCCTCCCTGCCCCTTCCTCCCTGCACCCTCCTCCCACTTCCCGACCCTACCTCCCTGCCCCCCCTGCTCCCCTCATCCAATCGCGCTCTGGCCGCGCGCCTGCTCTGGGGCACCACCTGAGACCTGCCGAAAGCCGAGGGGCAGCCCATCGTCCTCCGCGTGGACGGGACCTGGCGCCCGCAGGACTGCCACAACTGGTACTCGCAGCTCTCCCTGGCCCTCTGCCGCACCTCATGCGGCGGCGCGCGGTGCGCCACGGCACGGCGCGCGGGCTGAGGATAGTGGCGCAAGACGCATCAACGATGTTGTATTAAACGCTCGCTCCACATACCTTCTTCACAAGTCCCTACAAATATTTGTGTTCACTGAGAGAAATGCCCCGTTGGAGGAGAACCGTCTGGAAATCCTGAACCGTGCCAAAACAACACAATGCCTCGGGCTTCAACGCCGTGAATGAACCTTTCTGTTGCGTCCCGACGATCCTGAATCGTGCCCGAACATCATGCCTGGGTCTTCACCACCGCGAATCAACGTGGCTGCTGCACCTTGACAGTCCTACACCGTGCCAAACAACCATTCCTGGGACGTCAGACATAAGACTGCTTGAAACGGTTGTCAACTCTACGACGGATGTGCGCGGCGCTAACGCGAGAACCACATGTTGAGAACGGAACCGCCCTCCATCTGTGAAGCTCTTGCAAACTTTTGAGACGAATGTGCGCGGCGCTACACCGAGAGCCACATCTTGAAGCAGGAGCCGCCTGCACGCGTTCAAAACGAATGTGCGCGGCACGAAACCGAGAATCACATGTTGAAACCTGCCCGCCCTCAACCCGTGAAACTCGTGCAAGTTTAAAGACGGCTGTGCGCGGCGCTGAAGGAGAACCTTCTCTTGATCATCGCCTGACCTGCATCCCTGAAGCTGTTGCAAACTTTCTAAAAAGAGTGCGCGCTGCGCAAACGTGAGAATCCCATTTTGAAACCGACCCGCCCTCCATCCGTGGAGCCGCTGCCAAGTTTCATCGTGAGGAGCACAGGCAATGACGAAGTCTCAAGCAAAGCACATCGCCCGCCCTGCCGACACGTCCCGGGGTGCGACATGGAGGAGTGATATATAGGGAGAACGGATGGAAAAGGAGGAGCGAGGAGGAGGAGGAGGAGCAGGGAGGGAAGAGGCGAAGGAGGAGCAGGAGGAGGAGACCAAAGGGCGGGGCGTGGCAGGGACGAGATGCAGGCAGCCGGAGCAGGGGCGAATGAGGGAAAATTCGGAAGGAAGGCGGGGCGGGGCAGGGACGGGTCAGGGGCCGGGATGAGTCGGGGGCCCCACCTCCTGCCACCGCCTCCTCCTCCTGCTCCTCCCCCTCCCTCCCCCCTCCCCTCCTCTCCTCCCCCCACGTCCAAAAATCCCTCGATCCTTGACCCTCGTCGCCGACGCCGACGGCGACGGCGGCGGCGGCCTGGTCGACCCCTGGACCGGTCCAGGGGCGCCTTCCGATCGGAATTCCCAAACAGGTCCGGCCATGGCAGCGAAGGCGCTTCCCTGGATGCGCAAGAAGGCCCCAGAACCTTCATCTTCGACCCGCGACCTTCCATCGGCATCGGCGACGACGGCGGAAGACGGCGGCAGCGACGGAGGCGATGGCGACAGCGACGGGGACGACGGCAGCGGCGGCGGCAACGAAGCGAGCAGCCTCATACAGCCATCCAAAGGCCCTCCGACGGACCTCAAACGAAAATACCTTCGAAGGCTGGCGGAGCCCAAGCAGGCCTTCGATAGCTGCCCTCGATTGCCGCCTTCGGTGACCTTCGATTTTGAACGCTCCGGATGGGTACAGAACAAATGGGTACGATGCCCAACCACACATGTTGTCCAACACCGACAGCGGCTGTTGTTGGGCAGGCGGCCGTGTGTCTCAAATGGGCAACGTCCGCGGCGACACCGACAACGAGTCATGTTCAAATGAACAAGCCGTGCTGTCGAAGTTTGTGCCCATTCTTTCCGTACCTACGTCGATCCTCCCGATCGATGACCTTCGATGACTCTCCGAGGCCCTCGGAGGCGTCCGAAGGCCTGCGAACTCCTCCGAGGGCGGCGGCGGCGGCCTCTGCGAGTTCCCACAGCGACCGCCGGCGCCCCGGGCGCGCGCTCTCCGGGCTTTGGCCGGCCGCCTGGTGGCGGCCAGCGGGGGGAGGAGAGACGTAAGCAGACTCTTCCCTTACCATGTTGTATGTTCACTTCGCCCCCTTGAGGGTCGAGGCCCATTCCATCAGCCAGAGCTCGGCGAGAGCTTCAAGACGGCGGCACTACTGCGCCGATCGGTCAACTGTGTGGGCTACATTCACGAATGGTCAAGAATACGAACCATCACGGGGGGGGGACCCCCATCCACCTCCCCCCCTTTGGAAAGGCGGGGGTTCAAGACCCCCCTTGGCCTTTGGGAGACTGGGGAGTGGGGGCACGCGATCTGGCGCGTGGGGGGGTTCTCAGACCGCTGCCCTTCTTCCTTCTCCTGCTCCTCATCGTCGTCGTCATCGTCGTCCTCGTCTGCGTCCTCGTCCCTCATCTCACTACAATTTCCCCTTATCCTCCTCTTCCCCACGTTCCCCTATCCTTCGTTCTCGCAACGCTTTTTTCGTCATGCTCGTTTTTTTTATCCTCGCCTTCGCGCCGTGCACACCAGTCTTGAAACGTCAAACGATTATGATTAGGTATGGAGGCACATTATGTTGCAACATGCGAATCTCGTCTTAGCGCCGCACGCGCACTCATCCTCAACACATCCAAGGTTTGCAAGCATGCATACCAAAACGTTTTCAAACTGGAGGCAAGTCCGACAGCTTCACGGATTCCGAATTGGTAATTTTCATATTGGAGTTCAAGCTGGAGACCTCTTCAATGTCTAAATACCGGATTTCCAAACTGTGCCACAATGCAATACACAACCAAATGGCGGCTCCATATAAAATTGTGTCCTCGACCAGGACTTCGTATCCGCCGGCCCCCTTGTGGGGCCACCAGGCTGCGAGGCACGTGACTCGCAGTTTCCTGTACCAGTCGTAGGTTGTAGTTTCCAGTGTTACTTTTCTGCTTCTTGCTGGTTACTGTAACTAGTTGACTTCTTGCTGGTTACTGTAACTAGTTGATTGACCGCGCGCGGGGGGGGGAGGCCCAAACAGGATTTTTAGCCTCACCTGGGCGCGTTGTCTGAATTGCTGGGGGGGCTCGAAATCGACACCCCTCAAGCAGATCCGCGGGGTCAGGGTCCAAAAACACATAGGATTTGCCACATTTCTGAAATTCGGTGCCACCCCTCAGCAGATCCGCGGGGTCAGGGTCCAAAAACACATAGGATTTGCCACATTTCTGAAATTCGGTGCCACCCCTCACGCAGATCCGCGGGGTCAGGGTCCAAAAACACATGGGATTTGCCACATTTCTGAAATTCGGTGCCACCCCTCACGCAGATCCGCGGGGTCAGGGTCCAAAAACACAGGGGATTTGCCACATTTCTGAAATTCGGTGCCACCCCTCACGCAGATCCGCGGGGTCAGGGTCCAAAAACACATGGGATTTGCCACATTTCTGAAATTCGGTGCCACCCCTCACGCAGATCCGCGGGGTCAGGGTCCAAAAACACATAGGATTTGCCACATTTCTGAAATTCGGTGCCACCCCTCACGCAGATCAGCGGGGTCAGGGTCCAAAAACACATGGGATTTGCCACATTTCTGAAATTCGGTGCCACCCCTCACGCAGATCCGCGGGGTCAGGGTCTAAAAACAAAGGGGATTTGCCACATTTCTGAAATTCGAACCCATCACGCACATCCATCGCAAGGCGTGGTAACCCAAACTGCGAGAACTCCCTCGGCCCTTTAATCGCAAGGTGTGGTAACCAAGCCCTTAAACCATACACGTCTTACCAATCGCCAGGTGTGGTAACCCCTCTTGTGATCAGTTGGTTTTGCTGATTGCGACTCGGCTTCGCATGAAGTTTCGATACTGATTCACGACAGCGCCAAGGCCTCATGACTTAGCTCTTCCATGGCCCATTCTCCGAGAGAGGGGGCCGGCGGCAGGGGGCGAAGCCCTTACGGATATTTTTGCGGCATGTCTTTGAAACTCTGCACCGCTTGCACGGATGGATTACGTGTCCTTAAACTTTGTGGCCATACCTCTTTGCATCTCTGACGGATACAATCGGACCTAAGACAGCATAATTAACATTATTCAAGAACATGAGACCCTCCGCTGGCCAAAACACACGGAACATCCAAGGGTATCCTCCCCAGGATGCACAAGAACATCCAACAAACACGAACACACACTAGGGTACCCGTCCCGAACCGACCCCGATCTTATACCTCGTTCCGGGTGTAGGAGGATGCAGGGTGGATCTTTTTTTGCCCAAAAAACGGTCTCGCCTGACTGGCAGGACCAGGGGCGTTCACCTGTCAAGGGGGGGCCTTTCCATAGCGGAAAGGGAAAGGAATATTTGCAGGGATTGTGAAGAGAAGCTTTGGGACGGGAGGGTGTGTTGCAGCGTCGCTGACGCATCTTGGGATCACTCTGGTCCTCCTCCTCCTCCTTCTTCTCTTCCTCCGCCTCCTCCTCCCCCCCCCCCGCCTCTCCCTGCTTTCGCTACGCCCTTCGGCGGGTCCTCCTCCATCGGTGCAGGCGCCGGTCGTCAGTTGGCCGCCAGGGCCATCGCTCGGAGCGGCGGCCCCGCGCCGCGCCGCGCGCAGAGGGAAGCCTGGAGGGCGGCCGCCCACTGCGGCGCGGGGGAGGGAGTTAAGGGGCGGCGGCGGCCAGCGGCGGCGGCCTCAAAGAGGGCCCCGCCGCGCGCGCAGAGAGGCTCAGAGGGGGGAGGCCTCGACGTTCGAAAGGGCGCATTTTGTGGACGCTGGGGGGGTGGGGTTCGAACCGGGCGGCCTTCCCTCCCGTCATCCCCCTGAATTGCGCGGGGTGGGTTCGACCTGGGACCCCCTCAAGGAGGACGAAGTTCGAGCTCCCCCACCCGCCAGCGGCAAACGACGACGGCGGGCTGTGGCGCTGGCGCCGGACACGACGACGGCGACGATGATGGCGACGACGATGATGACGACGACGACAACGCCGACAGCGACTGCATCGGGGCTGGATCCAGCCCTGAAGGGATTCCGTTACAGCTGAATCAAACACGAATGGGAATCTACTAAAACTGGATCGAGCCCTAATAGAACTCTGTGAGAGCTGGATCCATCACCAATCGGATCCTATGAGTACTGGATTCGGCCCTGTTAGGATTCCACTAGAGCTTGATCAAGCCCGATGCAAATTTTGTAAGCAGTGGACCCAGCTCTCACATTATTCGGCTAGAGCTGGATCGGGCCCTCGAAGGATTCTAACGAAGCTGGACCCAGCCCTAGTAGCACTTCTCTCGAGCTGGATCTAACAATCAAAGGGCTCTATTAAAGCAAAATCGAACTTGGTCGAATTCGGTCGAAGCTGGATCCAACCCTGATAGGATTAGGAAAGCGGGTCCAACGTTGATATAACTCTACTGGAGCTGGGCGGAGACCTGGTGGGAGTTGATTGGAGCTGGCTCCCGCCCTAATCATCTCCGCCGACCCCAGAGGCGTGTGCCACTCAACTGTGCCATCGTGGATTACGTCCCACCTCGCCACCACCAGGTCCGACCCCCGCACCCTCGCACCCTCCTGGGAGCTCTGTCGTCGCCACCACGCCACCACCTCGCCACCACCAGGTCCGACCCCCGCACCCTCGCACCCTCCTGGGAGCTCTGTTCTTGGCACCCCCACCCGACAATTCCGCGCACGGAGCCGACCCTGTCCTCCACCACGCCAGCACCACGCCACCACCACGTCACCACCACGCCACCACCTCGCCACGTCACCACCACGCCACCACCTCGCCACCACCAGGTCCGACCCCCGCACCCTCGCACCCTCCTGGGAGCTCTGTTCTTGGGACCCCCCACCCAACAATTCCGCGCCCGGAGCCGACCCTCCCCCCCCACCACGCCAGCACCACGCCAGCACCACGTCACCACCACGCCACCACCTCGCCACCACCACGCCACCACCTCGCCACCACCAGGTGCGACCCCCGCACCCTCGCACCCTCCTGGGAGCTCTGTTCTTGGGACCCCCCACCCGACAATTCCGCGCCCGGAGCGGACCCTGACCCCCCACCACGCCAGCACCACGCCACCACCACGTCACAGGTTTCGCGTCACGAGTAGCGAATATATAGTGGCATCTGTATTGCGGGGTGGGTGTCGTAATCTTGCTCCAGATAGTAACTACATGAGCACGGATACGACCACTACTGCTAGACCTGATATACCCGAACGCGGGCGCTACAACCGCGCACGCGAGCAAGCTCACGCCATGAGCAGCCGCGCGAGAAAATGCTTCCGCGCGAAAAAACAAGCAGGCCACATAGTCGTGAATGTCACCCCAAAGATGGGGGAATGGGGCCGAATAATTCTGGGGGGGAAAAGGGGTGCCATTAAGTTGTCTGGGCGCGCAGAATGTCCGGGGGGGGGAGGCCGGCCCAATTCCGACGTGTCGCAAGCTGTTCCCCATGCAAGCGTCCGTGAAATACATTCTCGCCGACGTTCTGGTCGTGTGGATGCTCACTGACCGTTCAAAATACAAGGCACACCTGCAAAGCGGGCTGGAAAGACCGGGACGGGGAGAACTTGACGGAACATCAATGTTGTGTTCATCCTCCTTGCCGTCATCCCCTCAATCCCTCCTCCCCAGACAAGGTGGAAGCAGCGGGGGGGGAGGAGGGAATCAGACACGACCTGTCCAGTGCTCAATGCCTGCGCAAGGTAATCAGGCGGTTGGAGGACCAGGAGAAGCAAGGAAAGGGGGGGCGCTGAGCCTACCGCATGTACTAGGTGACGGGGACGATGGTGATGATGGCGACGACAGGATGTCACCGGGAAGAATGAATATGCTTCTCCTGCGTGGCCCCAACTTTGGGCACTGGCCAGACAGATGCGCAGGGAACAGACGCACGAACCCGGCTGATGCGGGCGACCCAGACATAGGATGGATGCAGGAATATCATCGAGAAGTGAAGGGCAGCCCAGACATCGGGCGACGCAAAGCAAATGACGGCGTGCAAAATACCGAGAGAAAAAAAACAAACCTCTCAACTCGGGCCAAATCGAACTGTGAGGGTCCTGGGGCCGTGAACCGGGGTGAAAACGCCCGTCGTGAGTTTCTCCACAGCGCCAAATTCTGAATCTCCGACTACACAATTTGTTTCATCCACGGGTCCCGGAGATCTCGTCCGTGGGGCGAGTATTTCATTCGAAATCCGCTTGCCCCCTTGGGGGCCAGCAGGCTTCGAGGTAGAGGTTTCTGCTATATCTGCAGCAGCTCCATATCAACTTTTTTGTTTTAATGTTGGGAATTATTGAAATACGCGCGAGGGCCACTGCCCGAAAACTTCCCAGTTACCCACCCAGGCTCGATCAGAAATTACGACGCGCGTGCGCTCTCGAAACCACAGCCCCTTGTAAAGAGCGTCGATCCCCACTGGTGAATTTCAACAGGTTTGAGCTCCCGAGGCCACATTCCCAGTAGATTGCAACCAGCTTGCTTTCCCGAAGCAAGAGACTACAGTCCCTCGTACAATAAATAGCTTTCGGGCTCCCGAGGCCACATTTCCTGAAAACTTACATCACGCTCGCGCCTCCGAGGCAAAGGCGCCGAAGGCCAGAGCCCTTGTAAATGACGACGCGCTCGCGCTCCCCAAGCAACACAGCAGCGTCGCACTCCCGAGGCCCTCGCCCCTCGTACATTACCACGCGCTGGCGCCCCCCGAGGAGAAAGTCCTTTGTGAATTGCGACGCGCTCGGGCCCCCATGGGCACAACCCATATCAAATTACTTCATGCTCGAACTCTCGAGGCCAGTCCCTCGCAAATTACGACGCACTCGCGCTCTCTCAGCCACAACTCTTGTTCATGCGACATCAGATTCGCGCCTCCGAGGCAACAATCCCTTCAAAGCTACAGCCATCGTGCTCTGACCAGGGAACGCAACGGGCTCTTCCGGACACGGCGAGCCTCAGCCACGACTGGGCCTCCCTGTCCAGATCTACGGAACGGCCCGAGAACCAGAGCTCCTCCTGAACCTTTAACGGTCCTCACCCACGGCGTCTTGGCGGCTGCACGTCGCACTCGCGCAATGAGGCTTCATTTCCTTGCGAATTGCGATGCTCTCGCGCTCCCGAAACTAGCAACGTGTTCGCGCTCCCGAGGCTACAAACCTTTGTATGATGCGACAAGGTCGCGCCCCCGAGGCTACACTCCCTAATGAATTACATCACTTCGCGCTTCCGAAGCCACGAACCCAACCCAACGAGGCTGCTCCACAGCGCCCCCCCTTTCCAGAGCAAAAAAGACATGTGTTCGGGGGGCGCTCTTCGGCTCCCCCGCCGTATTCTGAAAATTAGGCGCTGGACCCAAGCCAAGAATCCTCAAACATATTGAGGGGTCCGCGCTCCCGAGGCCGTGAACCCTCCTCGATGGCAACAGAAGCGCGCTCCCGAGGCCTCATTGATATCTACAGATGCGCGCAAGCCACCAGCCAAAATCAGCTGCCAACACTTTGAGTTAAACAACAGGCCAACCAACCGAGTTGCCAGACAGTCAAACGACAAGCCAACAACTTAACCGACCGAACAAGCGCAGCCACGCAAGCGATCAAAGGGGGCTGACGACAATTGGCGAAGCCCCTTCAGCTAGCAACGGCCTCCAGCGTAGAGTTTCCCATTCGCCAGAAATCTGGGAAATCCTCGGAGAGCAAAGCGAGATGTCGGACAAGGAGATGGTGATAGTGCGAGGCTTGCGCGCCTGGGGAAACGACCCCACAGGACCCCAGCAGGAGGCGGTGGATACGGATACAATCGTACCACCCAGGGCCCCAAAACTGCATATATCCACTGCCTCCTGGATTCCTGGGACGTCGGCTCCCCTGGCGGTGGAGATTTACCAATTCTGGCATCGGAAAAGAAGGGCGAAGGACCGCCGACGTTGGCTCTACCCACGCAGCACGCTCCCTCGAGCGCTGCAGCACGAGCGCGCGCTCGCGCGCACACTTCCAGCACGGCCGGCGGAAGCGCCACTGTCAGACGCCCACAGCGCCTGGCTCGGCATCGCAGGGGGCCGCCCAAATGCACACGCGCACAGAGCACTTATCCACCACCGTGCCTTCAGCACGTAGTGGAGTGCACCAAAGCTCCTACAGTGTGCGTTGTGCAGTGACTCTCGCTTTGCAGTGCGCGTTGTGCAGGGACTCACGGTTCGTATGATTCTAAAAGGCCTGACCCCCCATTTGCCACAATCTCTTGGTCGCTCCCGGGGTCTCCTAGGGTGTGCCGGCGTGGGCTGGGCGAGCTTTTCCAAGGCAAGAGGGTTTCGAACCTGGTCAAGGAGACTCCAATAAACCTCCACAAGCATCCAAGAGCCCCGAGACGGCCCAAGAGCGCTTCAGAACGTCCAAACTTGCCCCAAGACGGCCCAAGATGCCAACAAGACGCTCCAGCTGGGCTCCAAGAGGCCTCCCAAGAGGGCCCCGAGAGGCCAGAATCGTTGATCGTCCTTCGGTGTTTGAAGGATTTGGGCGTTCTCTGCTTGTCGGGCTTC